AGCCCCCACCTCCTGGCTCATGTGGCAGAAAGGAGGAGAGCATGGCAGACACGTGGACTGTGCAAGTTCCCATCCCAAGTGCCCCGGGTCACTTCCACTCACCACCATCAACAGCACCAGCCACACCCACGTGCCCGCTGCAAGGTGGGAGGGAAGGGAAGCAGCAAGACTGATAGGAGCCCAGTGTGTCTGTGTCCCCGGGTGAGTGAATGGGCGGAGGCCAGGAGGAAGCAGTTAGTGAAGGAGTCGGTGGAGGTGACTGGGAGTTTTCAGAGACAGCAGTGAGTARCTCAGTGGCCAGAGGAAAATGTGAAGAAGGGGGGATGTCCACCCATGGCCACCAAGGAGGGGGTGGTGACCCTGACAGGCCACARGAGACATGCAAGGTTTAATGAGGAAGGAGCTGTGACCTAAGCTGTTCAAGGTGACAGCTGAGCATGAGCTGGAAGCAGGCAAAGGGCAGAGCTCAAGGCCAGACAAGGGCCCCCTGGGACTGCAGGAGAGCAGAGTCACTAGGGCCACCCTGACTGAGCAGGCCACTCAGTAGGAATTCTAATTCCTACTCTAAATATTTGCTAATTACATATAAACCCTGTGCTGGATTGAATTATCCCCCCAATGTATATCCACCCAGAATTCAAAAACATTATTGCACTTGCACATAGAGTCTTGCAGATGTAATTAAGTTAAAATGAGGCCATACTGTATTAGGGAGGGCTCTTAACCCTATAGGACTGGTGTCCTTACAAGAAAAGGGACACAGTCACAAGGGAAGAGGTACGAAGACGGAGTCAGGGCATGGAGGGGTATGTGTGCAAGCCGAGGATCTCCAAGATCGCCAGTCAACACCAGAAGCCGCACCAGGCTGAGCCTTGCTGCACCCCCACAGGGAGTGGGCCCTGCCTTCACCTTGACATCAGGCTTCTGGCCTCCAGACCCTGAGAGAATCAGTTCTGAGCTTTACAGCCCCCCAGACTGTGGGACTCTGTGACAGCCATGCTGGGGAGCGCAGACCAACCAGGAGGGAGGAGAAACTGTGTCTCTGGACCTAACAGCGTCACCTCCTCACCCACACCCAGAGGACTTACTCTGCATCTTGAGCAGAGCCTTRCATTCCACCTCATTGGGAACTGGCTTTCCTTTCTCAGTTTTTTCCCCCTCCCATTGCTCACTGCTTTCCCTGAGAACCAGGAGAAATCCACATAGGTCAAGATGTCCAGGTGGAGGGGTACAGGTGGGGTCTGAAAGTGGACTTGGGATCTTGCAGCAGGTAGAAGGATCCCATTCTAACAGAATCCAAGCCACGAGGCTGAATAATGGAGGAGGAATTGACTGGAACCCCTTGCCTCCACACACTTCCTCAACCAACACCGGCTGCAGGTCTCTCTGCTTTGGTGTTGGGCAAGAGAAGGGGGGGGATGGGTGAGGTGCTGCAGCWGCTGCTGATGGTGATGGTGGTGGTGGCGGCTGACCTTTTATCAAGAGCCTTCTCTATGCTGGGCACTGTTCTAGGCCCTTATATCAACACACGCGTTTCTCACAGTGACCTGTGAGCTAACTCTACCATAGGTATCTTTTAAAAACATGGTTCTTGTTAGGTTTATAGGACAGCAGATGCATTTTGAGTTATTGTACACAAATGGAGCACGACTTTTCATTTCTCTGGTTGAACACCATGTAGAATCGCACCATATTATATGGCTCTTACAGCCAAGGAGGCCAAGGCAGAAAATGATTGAACTCCACCAAGAATATGGAGCTGGCAAGTGGCCRAGACAAAATGAAGATGGCTCTCGGAGAGGTGAAACCAGAGGCTTCTGGGGAGGGGAAGTGGGAAGCTGGCCGGGGAGAGGCTGTTGTCTTCCTAACACGTTTTGTAGACTTATTCAAACAGTCCAAGAGGAACTTGCTAAATCACACACTGCAAAGGAAAAGGAAGAGGAGATGAGGAAGTGGAACTCAGTATGCAGATGCCCATGTTGAGAAGTTTGGAGAAGAAAACCTGAGGGTGAACAGCCCATAGGAGCTGCAGGGAGACTTGATCCGGGGTGGGTCGCTCACTGTGATGGATATTTACTTGCTGACCAGAATGACCCAGGAAAGAGGGAGAGACCGATGCTGAAGCAAAGAGAGTCTCCTGAGCAAGCCTGGTACAGGAGCTAGAGAGGTGCGGGGTTTGGGGGTCAGATTCTCATTCAATCAGGAGGGAAAAGAAGATGAGTCTGCACCAGCTGGCTCATAAATTTTGGTCAAAAGTCCTGATGGTTTCCCTCACCCCTTCCTCCATGGAGAGAGGAATGGTAACTTGTCCAAGGCACAATCGTTTATAAGTAATGACATCTGATTTGGGGGGCTGCAGACCTCAATGCTCTTCCCCACAAATGCCAGCTTCCCGTGGGGTCTCTCGMAACCCCACATACCCACAGACCCCATGAAAGAGGGTTGGGAATAGGTGATTCCTAAGGTCATTAAAAAATTGAAGGTGTTGCTAACTARAAATTTCCAGTGGACATCAGTCCAGAAGATCTAATCTCACCCTGTGATAGAGCTGCAGTGTATGTACATTTACTAAGCAAATCTAATTCCATTGCTGACCAGCGAGAAAGAGAAATAATTTAAACAGCTCAATGCGGTGGCACCCACATTCAACTCCACAGCTTCTGCTGTCTCAGCTGCCTGGGGCTGGGGCTGGGGATGTGCAGGCAGCACTCAGTTCCCGGGGTGACCCCTCCGCAGGGTGAGCACCTTCCTCCTGCCTTGCACCCAGGGTTGCCCTAAGTGGGTCTTTTTCCCTCAGGCATGGCAACCTTCGCTGGATATGAGATAACTACTTCCTCTGCTGCGAGGGAGAAAGAAAAGCCAAGTGCAACAGGGAAGGAAAATTGGCTGTGCTGGCCCTCCCCCGAGGAGTGTGGAATCCAAATGGCACCTTCCTCAAACTTTTCCAAGGTGATTTGGACTCTGGCTTTAAAATGTCACCACTCTGGGGAAATTCTACCCCACCTATAAGTTCTCCCCTCCCCTTCTGTTTTTCCTCTACTGTTCCCCCCCCCCCCCAGGGCTGAAGTTCATCTGGGCTTCCTAGGCACAAACCCAGCCCCCCACTGGCAACATCCTTAGGGTTCCCAGCTGCAGTTCTGGGTTGTACTGCCCCAAGGAAGTCTTCCTCAAAGGGTCAGGACATGGTTTCTCCTGGCAAAATGCCCTTCTCAACCCACACAGCAGGAGCTCCCTTGGTTACTGAAGGAGGGGGCACCCTCCTGCACACTTTTGAACTTAACACTGCATCTTTGATGGGTAGCAACCCCTAAGTGCTCCATCAGTGTTGTTGGAAACCAAAGCAGGAGAGGTTATGGGAAAATGGATGTCTGTAAGTGGGTAGCAAACTGCCAGGTCTGAGGGGCGGGTGTTTATACAACAGGATGGCTCCCAAGGATGCCAACTATTTGTTCATTCCTACATCCCCAGGGTCTAGAACAGTACCTGGACATAACAGGTCTCAGTACAGCCATAAGCTCCACCTTCTAGTATGGGTGGGGGAAACCGAGTCAGAGAGCTCTACTCTGCTGTGCTCTGGAAGGAAAGGGTTTTTCCTCTTCGGTCCTTTCCCAGAGGCTAAGAGCAGAACCAGCTAATAGCTGCAGTTCAATAAATGTTCACTAGGACAGAATAAAGGTCAGGGCAGGTTAAGGCAAATAGGAGGCAAGGAAGAAAGCCAGTTCCCATGGGTCCTTTGAATCTCTCTAGGGCTGGTGGAGGAAAGGGGGTCACCATTCAGTAGGAGGAGTCAAGGAGGGGCACCTGAGCCTGCCTGGGGCTCCGTGGCAAGCTCCAAGCTGGGCAGGTGGCTTTGGGACAGCRACTGGGCGAGGCTGAGTCACTTTCTCCTTTATTCATAAGAGGATATTTCTCCAGTGCAGCAGTTCTCAGCGTAGCTTCACATAGAGGTGACCTGGGGAGGGGACAGGAGAGGGGCGGCCTTTTTTAAACCCCAGTGCCCAGTCTGTACTCCCTGAGATTCGGATTAAACTGTTAAAGGGTGGGGCCGTGGTTTCCACCTTAGAAAAATAATAATAATAAAAGCTCTGCAGGACCCAGGGGATTCTCTCCTGCTCACGGGGATGAGAACTGCTGCTTTCTTTGGTCCCTGAGAACACGCAGGCAGGCGCCAGTTACACAAAGCACCGCCCGTGGGACAGACTGGGGTTGGAAAGGCAGCTCTGCGCAAGTTCTAGCAACCAGGAGKGGCAGCGTGAGGGTGAGATGCCCCCTCCCGTCCGCCTGTGGGGCAGGGAGAGGGGCCGCCGGGCCGGGCGGAGGCGCTTAGAACTGGAAGGGGGAAGGGAAGGGGAGATGCGGGACGTTGGGGTGCAGCGGAGAAGATGGACGAGATTACATGGGAGCGAGAATTTCAGCTGAGAGTTGGGGGGAAGCAGAAGGGGTCTGGTGTGAGTCTGAGAAAATTGGTCGGAGGAAGCAGAGCAGGCGGCCATGGGAAGGTCTCTGGTGGGGCTAGGGGCGAAGGCGTTGAGACTTCAAGGAACTAGAGGAGTCCACCAGAGGGATGTCAGGGCGTGGCGCGATGAGATGTTTTAAAGAAGAAACTCTGAGAGACGGGAGCCAAGCGGCCACGCCGAGGCACAAGGAAGTCCACATGCACACGCACGAGCGCGCACACGAGCACACACAGCACCCCTATTCACACGCTCTCGCGGTGCACGCCCAGCCCTGGGCCTCTGGGACTTCGGAGAGGACAGCAGAGCTCACCCCGGGGCCCTCCAGCCGCGCCCCTACTAAAGCTTGCGCAACAGGCTACGGCTCCGCGGACCCGGCTCGCACTGCCCCAGCCCAGACCCGTTCCTGGGGAGGAGGGAGCGGGGAAAGGGGTGTGTCCCCGCTGCGTGCGGGGCGCAGAGGCAGGGGAGGGGCGAAGCTTAGAGGCGGCGCTGCAGCGCCTATAAAGTCGCCCTCCGCCSGGACATAAACAAACCTCGCCCGGCTCCCCGCTGTCGCACCGGAGCGCACGCCGATCTTTACTTCTCCTCAGTGTTGTCGCTGGGCGTTGCGCCACCACCCTARCCACTGGCTCCTTTCCTCTCTCCGTCTGATTTAGGTAAGCCTGGCACCCTCTTCCTCCCCCGCACAGGGACAGCAGAAAGGGGTTTCTGGGGAGTGCTGTTGGGGCGCTTAGCCCGCCCTTTGTGGACCGCAGGCTTCTGGAGCGAGCGCTACGGAGCTGCCAGAGCGTGGTGACCCAAAGGCGCGGGCTAGGGAAGGAACTCTGGGGCTCCAGCACCGCTGGAGTAGGGGTTTCGACTAGAGAAAAGGGCGGGGGAGACTGATCGCCGTCTGCTTTTCTTCTAACTGGAGAATCGGGGTCCTGGGGAGTCGGCGAACGAGCGCTGAGCCAGCGCAGAAACACCTGAATCGCGCTTCCTGGGGTCCTCCCAGAGGCACCGCTGGCCCCGTTGGCCCTCGTGCGTGCTGGAAGTGGGCGCAGGAGGTGCTAGGTGTGCGTGTGTTGGCGGGGGACGTCAGGATGACCGGGGAGGGAGCGGTTGCGCCGCGGGTGTAGATGTGGGTGGGTAGGGGTGAGCAGCGCTGGCGAAGAGGCTGGAGAAGGGGGAGTGGGTGTGTCTGGTTTCCAGACTGGGCCAGGAACGGAGTAGATATGAGGAGTAGATATGAGGGGCGGTGCCGATCCAGATCCTGAGCTGGGTGGTGCGTGTGAGAGAGGGCGTGTGTGTGTGTGTGTTTGTGTGTGTGCGCGCGCGCGAGCGCGCGCGCGCGGGGTGGGGGGGTCGGGGTGTGTTATGGCGCGTGCCGCACGCGCAAGATCGAGTGTCAGCTAGTGCCGCCGGGCAGGGTGAGTCCCCGAGGCGGCCCGGGGTAGGCGCTGTGGCGGCGCTGGAGAGGTAGCTTGGGCGCGAAGGGTCGCGCTGTATCTGGCGGCCCTTGAGCTGACTGCAGCTAGGAGTGTCGTCATTGTCGCCTCCGCCCACCCGCCCCCGCTTTCCTTCCCTCCTGTGTCTCTGTGGCCRGCCACTCCTGTGGTCCAGCGGGAAGAACAGCTGGAATTGCTCGGCTGTTCCCGGGAGATCGCCGCGGTCTCTGATTCAGCCTCTCGAGGAGGTTCGGGCAGGGGTGTGGAACGCGAGGGCTCCAGGGAAAACACGCTGTGACCTCCTCTGTCGGATTAGGAGCTGAAGCTGGGATTTAGGGGACCGCTTCCTCACCACTGCCATCTCCCCTCCTCCCGCGTCTGTTGACCCAAGCTGTCAGCTGTCCTAGCGTGTCCCCAGCGCCCCCTCTCTGGGTTGAACGTGGGAGATGCGTGTTAGAAGCAGCGAGCAGGGAGGGCCGGGTTATCTCGTCCCCAGAACAGCCTTTCCCCACCGTGTCCTGAGCACTTCAGTATGTTTGATTCCTTTAAGCTCCTGGGGAAGATGGAAGACTGAGAGTTGAGCTAGTGGCTACACAAGGGCTTTAGACATCCTTATATGCCAGTCAGCCAGCTCCACCTTCCTCCACGCCACCCAGGGAACGTGATATCGAAGTACAAGCCCTGTTCTTGGTATGAAAACGCAGCTTCGAGGCAAACCTTCCAGCCCGGCCTCCTCCTGTCTAGACATTCTGGAGTCTCCACTTCGTTTCACAAATGTGAATTGGAAGAAGCAAGGTGCAGCGGGAAACCCCGCCTGCCTTTAGGGGCTAGCCAACCACCAGCAGCAGGGGCACTGGCACGAAAGGCACAGAGCCTGATTGGCCAGGATGGCACCAGGTAGGGTTCAAGGAAGATGCCAGGGAGGGAGTAGTTCCAGTTGGTGATGAAAAACTCCAAAGGGAGGATGTTTAGGTATAAGCATTGACACTGGGTGTCCCCTGTCCTGTACCTTCTTAGCTTTGTGGGACCTTGTCTCTCCAGGAGGGTGAGTAGAACCAGGGTGGGGAGGAGGACTTTGCCTCAACCTGGAGCCTGGCAGCTGTCCCAGGAGCCAGCACCTAGGAAGAGTCCAACCATCAACAGGGAGCGGACTGTCCCCTTCCCTTCTGGTCCAGTAGGTGGGGTCCCAAGGAGGAAGGTGTGGGTGGAGGTGTTATGTTTGGCTATGGATCATGTATGGGGGCCTCCTCTCCTCAGAGAGTTCTCTCAGAGTGGCAAGCAAATCTGCAGTTGCAAGCCATTGATTTGTAATGGACCTCTCTGCACTTTGCTGATGGGAAGTGAGACCCAGAAACAGGGACACTTGTGCCAAAGCTAAGTGAGAACCAGAACTCCCCCTCTAGGCCCATTTCAGGATCTTCTGGTTAGCRCTGAACTAGATCTTTGTCTGTCTCCTGTAGAGACGTAAGATGAAATTAGCATTCCATTAAGAGTGTAGACAGGGCACTTTGAGGCAGGGGAGGCAGAATGCAGGGGGTATTTTAAAAAGTATAAATCAGATGTTTAGAGATTAGCCAAATCAGTTGAGTGGGAAAGGCGCAAGGACTGCAGCCCCTGTTGGTTGGCTTCACTGGTTGGGCTGCCCTTTCCAGGATAAATGGCAGAGCTGGTGGCTGAAACCCGCTGGCCCGAGCTTGCTTCATAGGGGCCAGAAAGATGGCATTATGTTTTCCTGATGGCCTGAAGCTGTATTTCTTCCTTGGAACCCAACTCCAGAGCATCTATCCAAGGCATGATTCAAAGAGCCTGTGGCTCAGCAGGAAAACCAGCATGTGACAGTCTCTAAGGTCCTAGCAGGGAGCCGGGCCAGACACAGCAGGAAGGAAGGCTGCGCAGGGTTGGGACATCTCTCTCCAGAGCAGCTGCTGTGTCCCCTTAACACCTTGTAAGACGGGGCTGTATTATCTCCAGCAAGTGGATGAGGAAACTGAGCCAGGAGAATCAGAGGCCTTGACTCTAGCCATGTGGCTAAGATGGGAGACCCAGACTTTGAACCCAGACAGTCGGTGTCGGAGTCCTCGTGCTTTGGCATGGAAACATGTTGGGGTGCCTGGAGAAAGCAGGCCAGAGTGAAAGTATAGAGAGGTAATCAGCCCTGGCCTCAGCTTCCTGGTCTGTAAAATGAGAATGACAGCCTCAACAGGATATGAGAATCTTGACTGAGCTGATACATGTAAACAGAAAAGTGCCCAGCAGGTGGGGAACACTGAGTAGGGGTGTCAGCCTTCTGGAACCATGTCCTGGGCAGTGTCTGGGGCCCCTTGTTCTAAACCTACCTAGGGCTGAAGGCACCTGCCCATGCTAGAGCCAGACTTGGACTGAACTCACAGCCAGGTACCCTGAAGGCAGGGTGTGAAGACTGTCCCAGAATGCTGGGGAGAGGAGAAGGAGGGAGTGGCCACACAGGCCATCTTGTGGCCTCTGGGTCTGGCAGTTAGTGGATGTTGGATGCTGGACGTACCTCGTGGACATGTTCTTCTTCTCAGGTTAGAAAACTGGGGCTTGGACAGGAGACTGCCCTGTCAAATGAGTGGGTTCAGATCAAGGTAGTGAGCTAGGCCCAGCCATTTCAGACTCCTGTGTTGCCCTCTAAGGCCACCTTGAAGGCCCCTGAGCCCATCCTTCAAGGATGGACTTGTTTCCTGGTTCCTGCTTGCGTCTGGTCCAGAGCCTGCTTGCCAACCTGTCTTCACCCTGGAGTGGAGCCGAGCTGTGGGCAGTCTCTGCTAAGCAGCCTGGCCTACTGTGTGTGGCCGGGTTTGTTCCCTGGAGAGCGCACAAACAGCAGGTGGACACYGAGACACTGCTGTTGGGTGTTGGTGTGGAGCTGAACTCTCCAGGGTAGGCCACGAATGAGGAGAATGGCCGAGAGTCAGTCTTGCCACCAAAGAATAGGAACTGATGACAAAATCGAGCCCACAAACAGTCTCTTTTGATGGGACGTGAATGCCTTGTCAGGAGTCCATCTTTGATCCTTCCCCCACCTCAGCCTGGGGAACCCTTTAAACAGGAGTGCATTTTAATCCCTCTGGAGCTTCGAAGAGAGAGGTGGGGTGCAGGTCCTCTTCCTCCCTCCCCGCCTCTGCCTGCCTTGACTTTCAAAGGTTCTGAGCACCCTGCCCCAAATATGGATGTGAGTGGGACTCTTGTGAACAGGTGACTCTGACCCTTGGTCTTCCCTCCTCCTTTCTGCAGAAGGAAGGTCCTGTGTTGGGTGACTTGAGTGTCCCCTGTGTCCTGGGATCATCACGGTGGATTAGGTTGTTTCTCTGCTTTTCCGTTCCTCCAACACAGGAGACCCTGGCCCCTGGTGGGGGTTCCTTTAATGCCGTTCAAAAGGAAGACTCCAAGTGTGAGGGGAATAACTTGGGCCACTGTGTGTCAGGAAGACGGGTGGGCCGTTCCCGAGGGTGGGAGCAGCGAGACCATCTGGGGGAAGGATCTTGTGGGCCAGGCCAGCATCTGATCCTGGGGACAAAGGGCCCTGTATGAGGGATCCATTTCCGCGTCCTGGGCTAACACTGGCTCTGTTTATCTCAGACCATCCAGCGCAACTCCCGCCTGTCCCGCAGATTCACAGAACAATCCTTTAAGAGACCAGTGTCCTCCTCCGGACTTCCAGTTACTGGGCTTGGCCCCTTGGACAGTTGTCTTCTCTCTGCCAAACCAGTGGCTCTGCCAGACGGCACTGCCAAGACTCCACTGAGAACCTCCAGGAAGGTCCGGTGTACTGCAGAGAAGGGGGTGGGCCTCTGTGGATTCCAGACCCTCCCTCTTCCTGCTATTGTGTTTCAGCTGCTCTCCTGACCTCTGGGTTCTGGGCTCCAGTGGAACCGGCAAAACTTTGGTTTCAGCTCCAGCAGGTACCCAGGGAATGCAGGCCATGCTGGTGATCTGACAGTGAGTGGGGCTGGGGTTTGTCTTCCTTGTAGTGATTTCTGGTCTCGTCTTTCAATACTGAGCAGTTCAGTGATACCTGCCAGGTTTCAGGCTCCACGCAGAGCACAGAGGCCCTAGAAATCCCTAGTCTGGAGGTCTTCTGCCCATGACCCTATACCTTTTTTTTTTCCCCCTGATTTCTCTCTCAGACTTTGAAAACCCAACCTCAATTCTTCCTTTCTCTAGTTGGGGAACTTTCTTGAGGGTCCAGCGAGTCCACCCATACTGTT